TAACAGTAAAGCAAGTGAATTGTGTGGCGTACTCATTATTCTTGCCATGACTGTACGCCAAATGTCAGTTACACTTCTCGAAAAAGTTGGGGCACAAAACTCAAACAAATTATTTGCAGTCAGCCATACTTTGTGGCAAGGCCATAAAAAGTCACCACTGTGCGCACTCTAACGGTAAACGTCAGTCACATAGGAAAACACACACACACTCACACAGAGAGACACACATTTCTATATAATATGTATATATATAGAAATACACGCACATACATACGTACGTATATTGCCACATATAACGGTTGTTTGCCCAGTCGACATCCACTGCGCAAATCCCTGTAAAAGTATCTACCCTAAAATGCTGTCACTGCGCACTAGCCCGAGCTGGAGCTGAAGCTGAAAGTAGCATTCAGGCAACAATTTTACAGTTCGAGCTCGTTGCTTTTGGGTGGTTCGGGTGGCTTGGGTGGCTTGGGTGGTTACACTGACAACAACCACTGAGCGTTCCAGCAGCAGCGGCAACCAGCAACGGCAGAAGCAGCGCTGTCGGCGTCAGCTGCTGCGTTGTCGGCATTAAAAATGCTATAAACACACACACATACACAAAAACACGCTCACGCACACACTCTCATATAGGTAGAGATAAGCAGAAGCCGCTGCTGCTGCCGTAATTTTATGCCTGTGTATATTTGTGTTTGTGTCTTTGTATTTGTGCGTGTGTGTGTGTGTGCGCTGTGTATTCCTTTCAGCAATTTCACATTTCATTCATTTGACGTTGACTGCGACACTAGCAGCGTGGCAGCGACGCTGGCAGCAACGGCAACAGCAACTGGCGTCAGCTTTGGCGTTTTGTGCTTTTCAATTTTAGATCAACGCTAAAATGTCGGCCCTGCCTCATTTTGTATGCCATTTAATATCATTTGTTGCCCTTTGCTTGCCTTCTTGCCTTTCATTTCAATCTCGTTCGTCGTTGTCCCCAGCTAGTTATCTATTATGTATGTATGTGTGCCAGTGTGGGTTGCTGTGCCACGCTGCGTATGCGTAACGTACACAGTTTTTGATACATTTCCAGTACGAAAATAATCAGCTCAACTGAGCTCAGCTCCAACGATATGACTAATGAGAGCATTGCCAAACAGAATTTGTATATATGTGTATTTGTGTGTGTGTGAGTTTATTGTCGGGCTAAAGTTTTAATTAGAAGTTAAGCATTTGATTCTGTTGGATGGCCAAAGCTGGGAAATGATATAGAGAATATGCCAAGTTGAAATTAGCTAGAAATAGTATATACTGCTGGTCTTATAAATTGTGAATTCTGGACAACAAAACTTGTTGATAAACTTAATATTTTGAGAATAATTTTAAATATATATCAAGATTAACAATATTGTTATT